TTTTTTTTTTTTTGGTAAGAACGATAATTAGGCTGGCTTATGTCTTTTCATTATTAATCTTTGAACTAATTTCTTGCTTGTGGTTTTGGGCTACTAGGAAGGCATAGCAAACAAAATACACTATCAAATTATATTATATAAATAAATCACATGACAGAAGTAAGATCTAGTAATCAGTATGTGTTCTTGCAAATTAGGATTTGAGATTCACATTTTAATTGTTTTTATCAATTTAACTGTTTCCGCTTGTGTTTTTTTTTTTTCTCAATTCTTTTGTAAAGGGGTTGTTCTTTGAGGAGAATAGGGTATTTATTGGTTACTTGCTCATTATTTATAGGGCTTAAGAATGAATTGGACGATGACAAAGGTGAGTTTTGTTATTATACTATGATTTAATATGAAATTTTTCATTGTTTTCTAATTTTATTGAAATTTATAATTATAATTTCAATTTTGTTGATTTTGAATAGAAAAAAGTAATGGGATCGAAATATTTCACGAAACAAATTTCGTTAGTATAAATGACAGCATAGTAAAAATACAACATCAAACAAATAATCCATGAATAGTAAGTTTCATAAAACAAAAATAGTCCATGAATACTAATGTGAAATTAATTTATGACAGCAATTCATATAATATAAATATCACCAAACGTATAATAAACAACAATTATTTAAAAAAAAAAAAACAGCTCTCGGTTCTTGAAAATTTTTTTGATACAAATGTAATTCATGATAACTATAAGTATTAAGAAACTTTAAAGTTTTGGAGTAATAGTATATTTTTTAAAAATGGAGATAAACCCTAACTTTTAGTTGGTGGAGCATTGGTTGATAAAAATTGAGCTGGAAATTTAGATAAAATAATTGATAGATAAATAGGAACTAAAATGAAAGCTTAGCCATACAATCCATTAATCAACTTTTGATAAAGTGAAGTACAATAATTGCAAAGTTGGAGCTGGTTTCCACTTCTGTAGGACCAACGGTGGGGACTGGGTGCGGGGGCGACCTACTTTTCAAAGGCGTGTGGGTCGGAATTTGTCTGTTTTTAACTTGTAGTTCAAGTCTTTCAGAGTTACCTCTGCTCCATTTCACACACAATTTCTGTCTGTTTTTCCAAAGTCAGAAGCCATGTCTGTTATCGGAGAAGCTGCTCTTGCTGCGTTCTTTGATGCGCTGTTCAGTAAGTTAGCTGAATTGCTCGATGTTGTAACCGAGAAGCAAGTTCGCGAGGAGCTCCACAAGTGGGAAAGGATATTGGCCAGTATTCAAGCAGTGCTAGATGATGCCGAGGAGAAGCACGTGAAGAATCGGCATGTGAAGAGATGGTTGACCGAGCTCCAACACTTGGCATACGATGCGG